GTAAGCGAATGAAATATGCGAATTCAAGGCACAAAGATCGCAAAAATTTATTTATTCGTTTTGCTCTCATCTAGCCATGTTTCGTGCCGTGATATTAGACAAGGAGTGTTGGAGAAATAACATGCGACTCGATCCCATATCTGGATTGGATCCACCAAATGTCAAATTACGGGCTGCCCAAGGTGAGATGCTTATTCAGCGTCACGCATTAAATATCGTTGCTTATCGCCTATGCCTTTGATATCATCATAGGGTTGGACGCAGCGGATTACTTGTTTCCTGGGTGAGTAATTTGAATTGTCGCTTAAGAACGAAGAAAAAATGTGCAAAGAAATCAATTCTTAAACGATCATCTTTCCATTATTTGTAAAAGATACTGGGTATGGGGTAAGTAAATCTGATCTCTCTATCAACTGTACTTAAAGTTGGACGATTTATACAAGGCATACCTTATATACTCCTAGGTAAAATGATACAAAACCTTGCGGCGATTGGATACGACTGTAATAACATGCACCTTGCTGCCTACGACTGGAGACTTTCGTTTTACAATCTTGAGGTCAGGGACAATTACTTCTCAAAACTTAAATCTAACATAGAATTGTCGAAGAAAGCTACTGGGAAAAAGAGCGTTCTTGTTGGGCATTCGATGGGTTTGTTTCCAATATCGAAATACTCAATTTTTGTTCTTCATCATATTTATCCATCCTGGATTCCTGTAGGTACTTTGGTAACACTATATTTCTTCAAGTGGGTAGAATCGCCTAACGGGGGTATGGGAGGCAAGAGTTGGGTGAATGATTATATCGAATCATTTGTAAACATCGGCGGACCTTTATTGGGTGTGCCAAAAGCTTTGTCAGCATTGCTTTCCGGCAAGTTTAATTTGCACAATAGCACATATTTCGATAATGGTGACGCATATTTACACTTATAAATGTCTTGTAGGTGAAATGCGTGACACCGTGGAACTGGGGGCCTTTGGAGTTTACGTTCTTGAAAAATTCTTCTCAAAGATTGAAAGAGCCGATCTATTTCGCACGTGGGGCGGTCTTTCTTCAATGTTACCTAAAGGTGGGGAACTCTTGTGGGGGAATGAGACTTATGCGCCGGATGATTACGAAGGATTGTTAGAATCATACGGCTCTATGATAAGTTTTCGTTCGTGTGAAAATGGTAAAAACGATAGCAATAATGAAAACACAACATCACGGACTATGCAAAAACACACGTGTATTTCCGGTGTGGATTTGTTGAAACGCAATACGGACGAGACATTCGGTGAAATGTTGACGAGGAATTACAGCTTTGGAATTGCTAGATCAAAAGAAGATTTTAAAGATCCTTTGGATCACACCAAATGGACCAATCCACTCGAATCCCAGCTACCAAATGCACCAAAAATGAAGATATTTTGTTTGGTGAGTTTTTTTTCGGCGAATCTGAGTTTTTATCATTCTACGGAATACTTGACGTGACAATCGTTGTTTTGTGCATTAAAATAGTATGGTTACGGTAAAGAAACCGAGAGAAAATATTTCTACAATTCTGAACCGACCGACGAACAACCGGACAAAGAAAAAAAGCATAGGCTGAGGAATTTTTTAAAACATGTATTTATCGATAGCACCATGAACTCAGACAAAGATCCAAACTTAAAGAGCGGCGTGTACAACGGAGAAGGGTAAGAGAATTTCATTGTTTAATTGCCCATTCTTCAAGCCACAAGCGAAAACATTCAATTAAGATCCTTCCGGTCTTTAATACACAGAGATGGCACGGTACCCTTGTTGTCCTTGGGTTACATGTGTACGACGGGATGGAGGAATCCACTTTATAACCCGGCGGGAATTAAAGTCATCACTCGGGAATTTGAGCATGAAACTGCACCATCTCTCGATCTTCGTGGTGGTACTAAAACGGCGGATCACGTTGATATTCTAGGAAATTATGCGCTCACCGTAAGTGAACTTGAGAATGCACACAATTAAGACCAGTCAAATTGTTTATGCCAGTTTCTTATTTTTTAGGGTGACATTTTAAAAATTGCCTCAGGAAATGGTGATAAACTCGAGGATAAAATCTCTTCCAATATATTAAAATATTCTTCTAATATTGATATTTAAGGCAAGGCATAAATGTCATCTATCCGCTGTCTACATTCTAAATTGTTAAAGAGTTAGCTTATTACACGACGCGATCTAGTTTGGTTTTATATTTTTTCTTACTCTTTTTTTTTTTTTTTTTTTTCGAGAACCCCTTTTTTTATTAATACAGTTGAAAAAGGGGATTTAATAAATTAGCTTCATACGATTACATTATTGAATTTCGTAAAACGCTAAGATTGCATTCAACAGATAAGATCCTATTCCACCGAGACCTGATTTCCTAAAGCTTTTTACATATTTAGGAAATTCTAGCGCGAAAACTCTTAGGACG